CTCAAAACGACAATGAGGTACCATCCCACACCTGTCAGAATGGCTATCATCAACAAATCAACAAATGACAAATGCTGGTGAAGATGTGGAGAAAAAGGAACCCTCGTGCACTGCTGATGGGAATGCAGACTGGTGCAGCCACTGTGGAGACCAGTATGGAGTTTCCTCAAAAAACTAAAAATGGAACTCCCATGTGACCCAGTGATCCCACTTCTAGGAATATATCCCAAGAAACCAGAAACACCAATCAGAAAGGATATATGCACCCCTATGTTCATAGTGGCACTATTCACCATAGCTAAGATTTGGAAACAGTCTAAGTGCCCATCAACAAATGAATAGATTAAAAAACTGTGGTGCATATACACAATGGAATACTACACTGCAACAAAAAAGAAAGGAACTCCTACCATTTGCAATAGCATGGATGGACCTGGAGAGCATTATGCTAAGCAAAATAAGTCAGACAGAGAAAGATAAATATCACATGATCTCGCTCATTTATGGAATATAATGAACAACATAAACTGATGAACAAAAACAGATCCAGAGACAGAGAAGTCGATCAGACCCTCAAACCTCACAGGGAAGGCAGGGGAGGGTGGGGATAAGGAGGAGAGATCAACCAAAGGACTTGTATGCATGCATATAAACATAACCAATGGACACAGGCACCAGGGGGGTGAGGACATGAGCGGGGGCTGGGAGGGGGTAGATAAGGACACATGTAATACCTTAATCAATAAAGAAAAAAAAAGGAATGGACTATTGATACATGCAACAATGTGAATGAATCTCAGATACACTAAGTGGAAGAAAATGCATACATATTATTTCATGTAAATAAATGTCTAGAAATGTAAACTAATCTGCAGTGACAGAAAATAGACCAGTGGTTGCTTGGGGGCGGGGGGCGGGAGGGGAGGAAGAGGAAGGATGACAGGAGGCACCGGAGATTTGGAAGTGATAGAAATGTTCATTATTGATTGTAGTGATGTTATCACAGGTGTAAACATTTGTCAAAACCAATCATACCATCACACTTTAAATATGTGCAGTTTTCCGTGTATCAATTAAATCTCAATAAAGGTATTAAAATACATATGAGGAACAAAAAAATAAACTTAAATTTGGAAAATTGAGAGATGAATTAAAAAATAAAAGCAAAGAAATTAGCAAAAGGACTCAGAACTAGAAAACAACAGTAAGATGAGAGAATCACAAAAGCAATACCTTTCTTTGCAACTTTAAGGGCTAGAACTAGGATGTACAGTGCCGGGGGGAAAGTTCTACTGCACCTGGCTGGACCAGGTTGCATCAGAGAAATATAAGAGGGGGAATTATACAACAAATCACACAGAGAAGCATATTTGTAACATTTTGTAAGTTTTGTTTCTTCTATACCATCTATTTAATCAATTGTTTATTGTAGGTATAATCTTTTTGTGACTAAGAGCAACAGAATAATTTAAAATTGAATAGCAATGAAAACCATAATAGTGGTTATCTGGAATTTGCTGAGTGACTAATTGTATCATGATATCTAATATCCACTAATCATTTTTATTATTATTATTGATTTCAGAGAGGAAGGGAGAGGGAGAGAGAGAGAGAGAGAGAGAGAGAGAATCATCAATGATGAGAGAGCATCATTGATTGGCTGCTTTCTGCACACACACACACACACCACACCCCATACCCCACCCCCACCCCAGGATGGAGCCAGCAACCTGGGCATGTGCCCTGACCAGGAATTGAAACTTGACCGCCTGGTTCATAGGTCAACACTCAACCACTGAGCTATACCAGCTGGGCTAATACCCACTAGTCTTCACATGTGTCATGCTCCTAGCTAAAATCAGTCCCTGCACCTAGATGCCAAGTTCTCTCTCCTGCACAAGAATTCACTCCGGCATTTCTCCACTCTTTTCTCTCCAAAAGTTTTTTTCTGCCTTCGGGAAGATACCATACTGATTTTTTTAAAATTGGAAACTGTTATTCACCTATCTTAATAAAAGCTTCTCCTGGCCCCAGACAGTTACGCTGCCATTGGTTTACTTTGCTTTGCAATAAAACTTGACAAGAGTTGACCCATGTCTTCAATCCCTTTCCTCAAAGTCTCTTTCAAACCTTGCTAACCTGACTTCCCTCCATATGATTCTCTGTCATTATCACGTGATTTCCACACTGTTAAATCCAATGGCGAGTCAGGTTGTTTTTTCTCTCTTCTTATTTGCTATGTTCTTGACATTGTTAAATATTTAGAAAATTATCTCAATATTTATCTTTGTACCCATATTTTGTAAGGCCTTTATGAGAAAGTAAGCTCTGAGATTTGTTTGGAGTCAGGCAACTGAAGGATGAAAAATAAATAAGAGTGATTAAAGATTTGGGAAGTAATCTTTCTAATAATAGGATAAAGCATAAAGTCTTATTTTGTTTAAAGAAGAGAATATTAAGAAGGAAACTGCTTAAGAAGTATCTAGAGATCTAAAAAGGCATTTATAAATGTATGTGGATAGGGTTCTATTGTTTTTCTCAGTCCAATATAAATGGAAACAAGGCTGAATTATATGGCGGGGGATATAATATTTATGAGGAGAAGCTAGCTAAGAAGAATTAGCAGAATACTGGCATTTATTGGGCACCCACTATATACTTGAAGCAGGGCTAGAGGCAGAGATAGAGATATATATGTTATTTTATGAAAGACCTTACATCAGTTCGTATTCCATTCTGCTGTTGTGTTGCCCTGAGGGAAATAAATATAAATTTATAAATATTTGTCTATATAAAGTAAATCCTGCTTTCCAATCTGTGGATTATGTGAAATTGTCCCTATTTTAAAAAAGGAATCTAAAAGAGAGTTTTAAAAGTCTTCCCAATTTCACACAGCAATTAAATGGGAGCCAGGAAAGGCAGGGAGGAAAAAAGCACAAAATTTAGTTAGGTAATGTGGTTTCCAATGTGTAGTTGGCCACTTTCTATCATTTGATTGTGAGAAAATTACTTCCACAGATTTCTAATACTTTATCTGTAAAATAAGAATACACACAACGATTGTTGGAAAGATTTAATGGCAGAGTTTCAGTGAAAATATTTTGAATATAAAAATGAATAGCTTCAAATAATTTATGAAAGAATGGGCTTCCTTCTTGCCATAGGATTGAAGGTTAAATTAAAGAAGTCTAAATGCTCATTTTTAATGAGTAATATTTTGATATAAACTTTAAAAAATTGCTTCTGCCTCCCATTTTATTTGATTGCTTCTCATCTTCAAATTCATGGTGAATATTTCATTCTTGCCATTTAAAATTTCTTGATAGTCCATGCTTTATATTAATTTTGAGAGGTTTTAGTTTCCTAATAAGAAAAGGAAGAGCAACTATAAAATCGTGCTTCTTTGAGTTATCACGTACCCCATATTCTCAGGGAGCACTACAAAGATATCCACCCACTGTGACATCCAGGTATCAGTCAGCCCTCATAAAACTCAGAGCCAACTGAGGATAGACATGAATAATGAAAACTACTTATAATTCAGAGACATATCGTAGGGATCTTAGGGCTAATAGGTTTAATATTTCTTGTGCCTCTTTATATATTACTCATTTACTGTATTGAAATTGAAATTATTCTCCTTCCTCTCATTATTAGAAATCTCTAGAAATGGGCAAACCACACATAGATCCAATAATCAGATTGATCTGCTCACTAATCACGTGGAGGGGGGCGGGGTGCGGAATCTTAAGTCCTACAAGGCAAAAGAATCCATTGACTTGTAAATAAAACAGAAGTGAGACATTACTGTGCAATTTCAACCGAGTAAGATAATTAGACTCAGAGATGCCGCTTCCTGTTTCTCTGGTATAAACAGGGAGGCCACTCCACTGGCCTCTGCACAACCTGATGTCCGAAGGCCAATCCCTCCTCTTTCCATCCACATTCCCTCAGAACACTGGGTCCTGAGAGGATGCGAATTGGTGTAACTTTTCTGAAACGACTTGAGCTTCCCCCGCGTTTATATCCGTGTCATCTTATTCTACGACAAGCTAACATCTATTATTAATTGATGCACTAATTAAAGCCACACTTGCTGTTTCCATTAGCTTATTCCCTAAATTCTCCGAAGTTGGCTGTCTGGTTTTAATCAAAACCAAATGGTAGTCCAAGTTCCCTGGAGCAGCTAGGAGGAAGTCATTCAGGGGAGGCTCAGGCAAGCAGAAAAGATAAACAGATGAGAGTTCACAAAATCTGTGTCGGACGGAGGACGCAGATACTGCGAGCTGCTTTGGAGACGTGATTCAGGGACTCTGTCAGGCTGGAGGGAAGCAGTTGCAAGTGGTTAATGTCAGCAAGGCTGTAATAGGATCAAGATGGAGTCTGTCTCCTGCTTTGCCAACCCTGAGCTCGTGTAACTGGAGGATTCTGAGGAGAGGGAACGCTGCATGGGCCAGGACACAGACTACTTGAATTTTGTGCAGGAATCTTGGGGTCGGGCAGCTCTTGGAGAAAACATTCCCTTTACTGGATTCTTGGGATTTTACTCACAGATCATCTCAGGTACAGTATGCAAGGCCGCAGCGTTCTAAAGCGGGAGAAGGGGAGCAGAGGATTTCACATTTAGAAGAATTACGGTATGAACACGAAATTTCCCCTTGCTCCCTTGAAAGATCTTTTGAAAGGAGAGCTGCAAAGGTATTTGGGTGCAGTTGTGTCTATACATTTAATAGAGTGGAAAAGTTGTCGGGGAGGGAGGGAACCGTGTTTTCTTTTTCTCTTTTTTTCCCCTCATAAGCCATGCGGGCTAGAAAAAGCTCTAGGACTTTATGACTCTCCAGCTAATCACCTCAAGAGCTTTGACAAACTCACTTCAGTTCTGTGTAAAATCAGAACTCCTACACCGCCCAGGCGGGCTCTGCCTGCCTCTCCCTCTCCCCCTCCCTCCCCGCGTGCAGTCTCTCTCCCAGGCACACTCCTCAGAGGCAGGAAATGCTTCCCAGGCAATCTGGGCCTGGTGGTGGAGGCCCCTTTCGCAAAACATCAGTCTGAGCTCAGGAGACAGAGGCACTGGGAGCGTCTTGACAGGCTGCGGCTCCGGCTGAGGCTCCCTCCAGCTGCCCCGGGTGTTTTTGTTAGGATCACACGCTGCGCAGAAACTGCTTAGAATAGAGCCATGATCTCAACCACGAAATGTGAACTTATATTTTGGAGAAGCTAACGGTCCGGACTTCTTGGCTAACCTGAGCGTTGAACAATGTCACGCCTTGGCGTCGCAGCTCCTCCTTGTCTAGGTAAGATGCTGTGGACGATCTATTTCTACGCTTGGAGGCAGTCTTTGGAGAGGCAGAAAGATGGGGATAAACGTTAGCCTCTTGCAGCAAGTGGTGGATTTCCTAGGTTTTAGAGCTAAGCCATGAAAGCAGGAGTGGAAAACGTTTAGTGAGTAGAAAACTGTGAGTCAAATTGTTTTAGCAAAATGTCAATTCTAAAACAGGCTCCAGAGAGACTAGACTCTTTTCCTCCATAAACTAAGATGTTCTTTTAATCCCTTTTTATTCTTAACTTATTTATCAGTAGAGCTATCAGACCAACTTTTTGGTTACATGGCATAATAGGAAGCAAACGCATATTCTCACACATAAGTGCGAGGTATAAATGAATTCTTTTATCTCCCTCCTTTTGCCAACAGGGAAAGTAGATAGCACTAGAGTGACTTTTCTTGATAGTGAATCTCCAAAGAATATTTTGTGTCTCATTTAAAATATGAAGATTGGATTCCTCAATATTTTCCCAAACCAGCTTTAACCATAGGTCAAGCTGCTAATGTACAGCTTAAATGTTTCATTAATTTTTAACAAAAGTAAATGCGTAACCTGTCCTAAGTAGTGTTTAATCTGAGTTTTAAAATGTTAAATATCAGAATTGGATTTAATTTATATTAAATTCCCCGAATTCACTACTCAAGTCATATTTTTGTGAATATTTTTGAATAACTGAAGTAAATTCCAATGACAATAACATTCATTATTACTATTTTAAAGCAGCTGAGAATTACTACAATTATATGAAAATCTGATCATGTGTTTATAATCATAAGATTACATTTCTACCAGGCTCTAGTCTTTTTAAGGTATCTTAAATGCTTAAATGTGCAACATATGAAAAAATATATCTAGTAATGACTAAAATGACATTGAATTTTAATGTGTAACATATTGTTATATTTATATTTCTGAATATTTAGAATGAAACCAATTATTTTATTAAAGTAATATTCAATGGTATGTGAAGGGAACAAATATTCACGTGTATTTCCAAACTTATTAGATAAATCTAAAATACATTAAATGAAAGATGAGAACTATTGGACAGTTGAGTCACAAGAAATTAAGTGTTGTAATTTTTACCATTACAAGGTAACCATTTGTTATATTAGCTAATTATTCTTAAATTCTATGCTTATATTGATCAGTTTTAACTATTCACTAACAAGTTAAGTCATGTTAGGACTTTAAAGTATGATAAAAAATAATCTATTTTTAAGTATGTTAAAAAAATATAAAATACTGACTTACGTAAACTATGACTCAATAAAATTCCTGAATAGACTTTCAAGGAAGGAAATAGTATAAGACATCACTCTTCTAACGCTGTGATGAGGTTTCCAGAGGAGCTAAGGAATCACATTCAAAAATGACCTGTCCAAGGTCACACCACTAGCTAGTAGAAGAGATAACAGTGGAACCACAGTACTGTCTTATAGTTCAGATATCTTTATACTACATCATCCTGCTCTCAGATAATAATTATGCAGAATAAAATATTCACATGTCCAGTAGGAGTCTACTTTTAGGCAGAAAATTAAAAAAAAATAAAAACTGCCACCAGTGTTACAGTGTGTGTGGGGGGGGCGGGGGTAATAATGATTTTTTAAAAGAACCAAATTTAGTAATAAAATTTTCTCAAATGAAAGTTTGAAAAAAATTATTATGCCTTCAACAAACACTTTAAGGGAGTAACTTGTTTGTGCCTATTTTGTTACATTTCATGATTATGCCAAGAAAATCAATCCATATGCTAATAATCACAGTAATTTTAAACGTATGTTACTTAACAAGGGCTAGAAAAGAGCTTGTCTGGTTCATATCCTTGTATTCAAGGGCATCATAATGAACTTGCCTAAACAATGATGGTCAGAGATTTACTACCCCCCATTGAAACTGGTTTAACCTATGTAGACTTTCCTTCTCTTAGCTAACCTAAATTTCTGTTGCTGCAAGTCTATTCCAGCTCTATGGGTGTTTCCTCAGTGGAACTATAAAAAGCCGAAATGGACATATGAAAACATAAGTGTACATTTCTAGGACCAAAAAGCCCACTCCCTTTCATCTTCCCTTCTATAGCTTATACTCGATCCTTTAGTTGATTATGTCAATGCTGAACCTTCTGCAAGACCCTTTAGCTGTAGAATACAGGATTTGTTACAGGACATAAATAAATGTCTGACCAATGCAATGTAAAATGGGAGAGTTGGCTGGATCATCTGTATCATACCTCATATGTGACAATATATGTTGCTATGCATGCTGAAACACAGCACTTTCCAAGCCTTTCTCATAAAAATTAATGCATGTCATTTCTAGGACATGCCATTTCTTTAAAGAAAATGTGTGCAATGATGTTTTTTTCTCTCATTTTTATGAAACAGATTGGATGCCATTACCATTTAAAAGTTACACTAGTCAATGCCTCCAGTGTCACCACACTCCACATTATTGGAATGAGAAATAAGTGCAGTAAAGAAATGGCCTGTATAACTGACTATATAATTCCTGGAGGGCCTGTAAAAGAAAGTACATCACTCTATTTTTTTCTTAAGGGCATTATCATTTTTTAAAACAAGAGAATTTTTAGGCATGGTATAACCTTACAGAGGATTGGGTCTTACAGGCCAAAAGTAAGTCTAAATGGAACATTTAAAATTTATCTTTTGTTTTTATCTTACTTGTTTCTTCTTGGAAAATGAATGAATTGGTGTCAGTAATCAATATTATCTTACAATGAGAATCTCTCCATAGATACCTTACAGTACAGCAAAGATCTGAGAGATAACCTAGATCTGGATCAGAGTATAATATCATCAAAATAGATTAATGTCAAGAATTTAGGAGATGAGGATTTAAAGAGGATCGGGGAACAGTAAAAAATCTCCAGATTTTAGGAAGTGGCATGAGTATTGTGCCTTCTTCCCCCACATGAATGCTAAGCCCCTGTGTGCATCACTTAAACTAAACAGGTTTATGGAGAAGCCCACCTACAGATTGAATTTGGTGTGGATGTAGAAATACAACATTTACTTCTAGGGCTCTATTTTGGCATTAAACTGCTAGTCAGTTCACAGAGCTTTGGGAAATAGATGGGCTTAGTTTTCTAGGAAGTTAAAGAGAATAAAGATGAAATGTGGACCTTGAGACCTAGTTAAAAAAAAGATTGTTTATTTTGATTCAGTGAATTATAGAGTAAAAAAGTGAACTTGAAAAGATTATACAGGAACTCTGACACACGAAGAAAAAGCTGTAAAGCAATGCAAACAGTGTGCATATGAATTTCATATTAATTGAGATAGATGGGTAGAGCCCCAGCTGGTTTTGCTCAGTGGTTAGAGCATCGGCCCATGGACTGTAGGGATCACAGGTTCGATTCCGGTTAAGGGTATATACCTCGGTTGTACCTCTATCCTCAGCCCAGGCCATGGCATATGTGGGAGGCAGCCTGTTGATGTGTCTCACTCACATCAATGGTTCCCTCTATCTCTTCCCTCCCTTCCACTCTCTCTAAAAATCAATAAAAAAAATCCTCTGGTGAGGATTAACAAAATAAACAAACAAAAAAGATAGATCGATAGAAAAAACTATTGTAGCTAGTTGGATGTGTGGAAAGGTTGTTTGGGGTTAGACTGAATTGAAGTGCTTTAGCAATACAATTCAAATAATTCAAAGATGAAATCGGTCCTATTAATGGAAATGAGATCAGAAGAAAGTACCAAAATCAGAGAACCAGTTTAGAAATTCAGTGTTTCTTTTTATTCTCAGAAACTAGCAAAATACCTACCATGTCAGGTGTTATCAATACCTGCCTGCCAACAAATGTTTGTGGAATAAATAGGATGGGAAGAGGAAAGAAAGCAAAGCAAAACCAGTCTTGAAGAGTGGGCATTGTGGAACTTTTTTCCCAAACATCCTGTAATGATAGGATAATAATTTTTAAAGTGGAAAGAAAATAAGAGGTTGTCAAGAGTCATCAGAGCCTGAGGCCAGAGGTTAACTACACTCTCATATGATGCCATTACAAACCCAGTAAGAGCTAGAAGGAAGCATGAGCATCCAGAAATAGTCTGGAATTGAATGTTACATAAGGCCAGTGAGAGCAGCGCACTAGTGAGTTCTCCACATTTTAAATGGAGTGGTGTACTGAAAAGCCCAATGGGCAGTCAGAATACTGGCTCTAATTTGCATCTTTGCCACTTGATGCTCTATGATTTGAAACATGCTCCGTAACTACCTTAAGCTTCTGCTTTTTATTGGTAAAGTGGGGAAGATAAAGAAAATATTTCCATCACCGGGCCATTTGAGTGTCGATGAGATTTTTGTATGTGGAAATTGTTTTGCATACAGTATAACAAACAAATATTTTGTTTAAAAAAGCATAAGTCAATCAAGAAAGAAAGAATCGTGGTGTTTCACGTTTTGGGTCAAAATCGCTCATCTATGTTGAAATAACATGGGCATCCAAGGGATGGGTCCAGCTCATACTCAGCCATGGATTCTGCAGCTGAGATCAATCAAAAACGAAAAGAGTCATTGGCATTGTCCTTATCAGCATCATTATCAAGTCAGTTAGCATCAAGTGAGTTCTTGCAATATGTCATGAGTTAAGTATTCTATATGCACTATTAGCTCATCATTGTTATTTTAGCTCAATATTATTCTTTTCCCCTCAACAATTTTTTATTATTCCCATTGTAGACATGAGAAAACTGAAGAACACAAACTTAAGTAACTAACCCAAATCACTGGGGGGTGGGGGGCGGAGGGGTTGAGGGGGAAAAAATGATTCTTTAACAGACATCCTGCCTCCACAAAAATGGAAGCTTTTTGTTACTATTATCATCACCATCAAAAGTTTCGGATGCACCTACTATTAACTGGATTTAGAGAAGAACACTTGGTCATAAAACCAAGCTTAAATGCACATAGATTAGATGACAAAGTAAAATGAAAACTATAGATAT